GGGGGGCGGGCTGCGGGCGCGAGCGCGAACGGCTGAGGCGGCGTGCCTCTCTGGAATGCTGACGGCCCGCTTCCCGACGCGGTCGAATGGGCGGCGGCCGCGACCTCTTCGGCCCGCGTTGCTTCCCTCTCATTCCCTCCCTCTCTCCACGCCTCTCCCCCTCTCCACCCCTCCCCGGCCGGCGCCGCCGACTCTTTGCTTCCGACAGCTCGGCCGGGGAGCGCTGGCAGAGAGGACGGTTTAGACCGGAAAGTCTTTCGTGGACTAGGGAAAAAGTGGGAAGGGCGCGTGGGGTGACCAACTCGTCGAAGTTTCGAAAAATAGGATGTAAACACAAGAAATGCGATAAGAATGTACAGGCGCCAGGAAAACCGATGCCGAAACAGTGCGTTGAAGTAGTGTGATACGCGGTGTAAAATAATATTGCTATGCTCACAACACGATAAGAGGATTCGTAATACCTATAACGTCACTTTTTAAACAAATTTAGCAAACAGAACAATATGTATAATTCCAGAATCAATATCAATCAGAGAAACCAACATTCTTAATTTGTCATCCATACGAATACATATGTCCCTGGAAAAATAACTTGCTCTACAGATTTCAAACTGAACTCATTTGCACCACAATACACTAGTTGTACCCCCGTGAAAACACTTGAGTGACTGCTCGAAATGATTTTGACAGTCTGGATATGCATGTACGCAAAATTAATAATTATAAATGTTAATTAATATTATTAATTAACTTATATTAATTAATTTATATTATATTAATAATTTATTTCGTTCATTTTATTAATAATTATTAATAATACATATAATGAGATTCTGGGGGTTGGTGAATGGTGTCTCGAGTGCTTTGTGTATTTTAAGCCCACAACGGCTTTTAGATCCTTAGCATTTTGTTATTTATACTGCCACTTCTTTCTTAATTTTATCTGCCATTTCCTACTCAAACGATGAAGATCAGCGAGCATTTTATAACATCCCTTCCCTCAAAATAAAAAAGATTCTGAACCTTATTTACTAACACGTCAGTGCTTTTGTCCCGCAAATTTAATTTTAATAAATTACACACACGGCCAATTAATAATAGCATGTTGTAAAGTGTTTTCGAAATATGAGAACTCTTTTTGTACACTAGATAACTGAAATTGACTTAATAAAATCCATCGGCATTAACGGAGACATCCCATACGCTCTTTCCTTCTCTACAGTTGCCTCCGCTGCAGGTACATTTCGATCATCCCAGATCTACCGAAACAAGTTAATTCGCTGATAATTCTGATTTTATTTCAATATCCGTTTTTCCGTTCCTTTAAAACTGTTTCTACCGCAAATACGTCCTATTCGGAGAAAAAAATGTCCCAGAGGCTCATCCTGAAGATTTGGACAATGGCTTCTCAGAAGTGACGACTATTGTTCCGTGAACTGCTTGCGCTCCGCTAGGTCAACGAGTTGCGAGCGAGGGACCTCGACCCCGGCCGTGGGCACTCACCTTGGCCGTTCGCACGTGAATGAAAACACGTTCCGCGCGCTGGAAGCTGTCTCGGCGCCGACAATGCAAAGGCACGCAGCAGGGGGCGGTGGGGAGGTTTGGGCGTAAGGTAACACAACACCCAGGACGATGCCGAAATTTGGTATCCCTCTTCATTGAGAAGAAATTAACTTTAATCTTTCCCTGCCCGCAAAAACTTTTTTTTTTAAATATTATAATTCCATTACCTTGTTTACATTCACAAACCACTGAAGTAATTTAAGGCAGACAAATAAAGATATGTAAATCATTACGCATTTGCTGGCATTACGCTCTGAGGAAAGTCGCAGAACGGCGACCGAAACATCGGCACCTTTGCCATGGACGCGGCTTCACCCGGACAGCCAAGTAAATAATAAATACATCTAAAAAGATACGGAAGGGAACATTCAAGATTATATGTTCACTTTCCCAGTATATTTACAAATGTTTAACAAAAAATAATGGAATTAATAGATACGGTATTTCAGTAATTCGTTTCCGTAGAGTTAATAGTTAATTTTGCAACATTAGGAAAGCTTCTAATACTATCAAGACGTATTACAGTAAAAATTGATTTTTTATATCGATTTCAAAATTTAAATACTAAATAGACAAAAGTAAAGTAAATTACTGCAAAGAAGATAAAATAGTTGGATGATGTATTGAACGACTAGTTGTTACGGAGATATTATGTACTTGCAATACTGTCTGTCTACCGGGTTTGATCATATAGTGGTTATCGTGCCGGGCTACTGATCAAACTGCCGACTGCTACTGAAGTTCAAACCCGGTCAAAATAGGGGGACTTTTTAGGTACCAACAAATCGACGGCATGCATGCGAACACTTGCCTGCATGTAAAACACCCCAGGAAAGGCCAGTTCACAATTTAGCACCGATCAGAGTTTCGATTTAAATTATTGGATAAGATTGATGATATTGTATCTTCGCCTGCGCTATCTGGTATTGAAATCAAACGTCAAAATTGGCACACTAGCGACCCTAGGGCAAGCAGTGGCAAACTACCCTAGGTATACTTGCTCAGGATGTCTCAAAAGAAGGCGCTAGGACCTTCTGGAGACTAGCATACGCACTAATCTGTGTATGGCATTAAAAGAAAAAGAACACTGTTTTTCTCTATTCTGTACGTATAAATATCGGAATAGTATAAAAATATTAATTTTCAACCCGTCTGAAAAAACCATCTCCTCTGCAAAAATCCACAGAAAAAATTGTTTTTTAGAAAATTTGGAAAATGTTTTATAATTAGGAGCTTCATGTTAAATATCCTCCGAAATTAAAAGATTCATTTGAAATTTAAGGGGACACGACGGCGCCCAGTTCAATCTAGTAATTTCCATATAGTGAAAATTTTGTCTACGGGTTTAGGTGATAATGTAAGGCGACCAGACGGTTTGAGAAAAAATACTTTTCAGTACTAAGGGCCCTCAAAACGTATATTTTGACTAAACCACTTGAAAGAGAAAGTAATTTAGTTCATATACGAACAAGAAAAGTCTACTTCTTTCAAATCATGGTCCCACAAAAGATGTTTTTCTGTAAAACACATTCACAATATTCTCTGCAGCATTGCAATATTTCTCATCCAGCTTTCTCTACTCTACGTATACGTGAAGGGAAAAAGCAATGACTACCATAATCACTAAGTCTCAAATTTACCCTTCGTGGCAGTCTTCCGTTGGAGTTACGTTATGGACTTGTGCAGTTAAGCAAACGGTCCCGTTTCCCGACGCTTGAAAGGGTCAGGACTGTCGCAGCAAACGCGTCGTGCAGGGAAGTCCAGAAGTTCGTCGAGGGATGCGAGGAATCCTTGGACGACGCCCGCGCTGTCTGCCGCGTCGCGCGAGGGGAATAGAAGATCGGCGCGCAGAGAGGACTTCATTTTCATTGCAGTCCCGGAGCCCCGTCTTAGTCGAACGAAGAGACGCAAGGGTGTACGAGAGGAGGTATTGCAAGCGAGAGAGTTTACTTCGAAATAATGTCGACGAATTCAGAGAAGAGCTAGTGGCAATAGGGGAGATGAAACACGACGGGAATTCAAGAATTTCAACGGAACGAAAGATAGACCCACGTGACGTGTCTCTTCTTAATTAATTCCAATTAATAATGCACCCGTATGAATTCAAGTTTATGCTCATAAATTTTTTTTCTATCACCTTCGATCCCTAAAGTCTAGCGTTGGATCCTTTGAATCGATTCCATACTTCTTTGTGAAGACTTAATACCACATATTGCCTTTAATAGAACGATTGTTCTGTTTTCCTCGCACACAAACTGCTCCGTTCATGATGTTATAGTTGTTGTTTTCTAAGACATGATAATAAAGTCTGCGAGAAAGCTGTAGTGTGGTAATTATCGATTTTATTGTTTACTTTTAATATTACTTGTCGTTTATTGTAGAAAATGTTTTCATGGTCTATACTGTAAATATAAAACGTCATTGTAAATGTTCAGAAAATGTACTGAAGTAAAACTAACGAAAAAAGTGTTTCAGATATCAACCACAATTCAACATGAAACAATTATTTATGTTTACGAAATGTACATTATTTAATTCAATGAATTTATTAATTAATGGTGGACTTTATGGCTTACTGGATTTATCTTTCTGACCAGAATAAAATCATGATGTTCCAGATGTCTGATGGTAAATAACAAGGAAGTGACTCCTCCGCACACGTCTTACCTGAAATAAATAAAAAAAAGAGTTTTTAAAAAGTCATGGGAAAATGGAGCTACCTATAACATTTTATTTGTAAAAAACAACAATACATGATAAAATAAGTGTTAAAATAAATCATAATAAGGCATTTAACAATTTCAAACTGAATTTTGTTAATGAACGACTTGCCTTGGTGAAAGAGCCTAGGACCAGCCAAAATTTGCAGATTCGAGTCCCGCGTAAGGCACGAGTCCATGTGATTCTAATTCAGATGGTTGGTTACTCGTATCATCGCGTAAATCAGAATAACATAGAATCAGCATTCCATTTAGAACCTTTCCTTTCTCATCCTTTCACTCTCGTGATCATTTCGAACATCAAACTTCCAGTTAAAGAAATGGATCTGCCTCTGTGATAATCTGCCCAGGAAAAGGGAGGGCATTTTTGCTTTGTATATAGGGTAAGTGATTTTTCTGTGACTTCTCTGAGTTTTGTACGGGGAAGGTGCATGTGTTCTTGCAGAATATTCAGCAGCCCAGAGTTGAGCTTGGGTGTAAAGAGGGCGGGGTGAAACCCTTGGTAAAGATAACGCAGTCTTGCATTTCCATTTCAATGTCAACATCAATTATCAGTGTTGGTTTCTACTTATATTTGAGGGGGAAATTGCTTTTTAATACCATTCTAATAGCACCAAATTCGGTCCTAAAAATCTCATTGACGGCTTAAACCAGAAATAAAACTACACAAAAAATCCCAAATCTTGTTCCAGTAACCCAAACGTCGCAGTCCAATCGGGGGGATGCAGAAAATTAAGTTAAAGAATTCATTTGTATTTTTGAATATCGAAGTCTCTTTTTGTGTTGCATCATTACATTAGATCATAGAACTTTTCATTAGAACATCATCAAAATACCGAGATACCACGTGGAGATTACACAACTTAAGGCAAAGGAAGAATCGTGTAAATGTGGGTACATTTGCGAAAGTTGGTAGCCCCGCCAGAGTGCGATATATTGGATATCGCATATGACATTTCACTTTCGGCGTACTCGGACCTTCAGAGAACTTTTACATCCCCTCCAAAGGCAAGACACTCATTCCACTGAAATTTGATATTAGATAATAATGTTTATAAACTTCAAATATTCACATTTTATAGAATTTCTGCCGTGTCCCTTGAAGCTATTCGATCAGGACTTGCAGGCGGATTATCATGGCTCTGCGGGTGACGCCGCGTTCGAGACTGTGGTGCCGACGTTTCGATCATCTAGTCGTGGTCTTCCACAGGACTGGTCTTCGAACACGCCACCCTCGAAAGGCGCTACGAGACAACAGTTGAGTTTTACCTTAGAATGATTCGATCCACTGTTCTTGGGATGAGCTATGAAGTTGAAAATACATTACTTCCTCAGTCGATAGGTGTTAATGGTTACAATCCAATTTGCGGCACAAGAATACATCGTAGTACTGTGTATATTTTCTACTAATTATTGGCTTCTTGTTAGAAGTACTATAAAATAATGAAGTGGGTTTCGCAATGCAGAACTACTAAAAGACGACACATCACTGTACATACGTGTTTGTTTCATAGTATTAGGAAAAATTGAACTTTAATAACAGCGATATTTCATGGCCCGCTCTACGGTATACGTCTCTTATACGTGGAGTGATTCACGAAAGTACGCTGTAAAAAATCGACTCCCTAAAAAGAAGTTGTAGTACACTATTTCGCGAATACACGACGAGACACATGACGCTCTTTGCTACGCCCAACTGTCAAATACTATCTCTTACTCCGTATTTTCAGAGAAACGTTCCTCTTCAACAGAAAAGAAGAAATATCGAGGTGAACGGACCGAGCCCGACCTCCCCGATAAAAACATCTCGACAAAGGACGGCGAAGAGACTTCCACAGAGCGCATTGTTCCGTGCCGAGACTCCTGCTGTGATTCTCGCCGCAGGAACACGCCCCGTCCCAGAGTAAAGAAGAAGGGCAACTCAAGGAATATGATTTTTGAAACATCGTTATGAAAAAGTTGTTACAGTTAGTATTTAATTATAGCGTTATAACGAACTGCGTAAACAAGTCGGTGGAACCGTGAGATTATACTTCTAAGGACATGGGGCGGCATCCGAAATATCACAAATTGCTTACTGGAGAAATTAAATTTTTCGTTAAAAAAATTACACTTATAAATTCAAATGTAACATTGTTTGTTTCAGCTCATACGGTGGCTGAGAACAGCTGAACAGCTGAAAACACGATGAGCAAACTGACGGTTAGTAAAATTCAATTCTTAAATATTGTGGACAAAATGAAAAGGGTATGTCGCAGGGGAAAAAAATACAATTGTTTTGGGGCATTCGGATCGCATTAACAAAAAAAAGTTATTTTGACCTTTTAATGATGAAAAATAATGACTCATAATTACAGATTAAGTGGTTAATGATACATTATAATATAAATGAATAAGCAACATGGAACTGGAACCGAGAATATTCTTATGGCCCAGGCATACGCATTATACATTTAAGAACGTCATCCACGAATACTACACATTTTTGAAATGAAATGTTGAAACTCAATAGCACGATTTTCATTGAAACGTAGCACGAAATCCATAGATGTCGGTTGTACCACGGCCTGACATCATTTCACATATGTTATTATTATCACGTACACACCCATCATTGTTGTTCTCATAGCCCAATCGTGATATATCTATATGTTTTTATGGATAACCGATCAAATAATAATTAACAAAATTACTACTATACATGAAATTGAAACAAAAGATTTAGGATACAGTGATCACGCTGCAAAAATTCTTACCATTACAAGAAATGACACAATAAATAATACACGTATACATTTACTAAAAGTAAAATAAAATTATTCATCAATTACTTGCTGCAAGAGTCATGGGACGCGGTTTACAATACTGTTGATACAAACTATAAATACAATTATTTTTTCATCGCTTTCATTTCATTTTAACACTTGCTTTCCTCTTCAACAGAGAAAATTATTTTTTTCACGGAAAAACCATTCTTGGATAACGGGATTAGGACATCATGTAAAAACAAACGAATTTTTTCTTTCATTTCTAAGCACCATAACGTATCTCAAGGTTTCCTCCTCTACTTTAAAAAAATCATTGTTAAGAAAAGTCATACGGAAGGCTAAAATCATGAAACAGGACCAGCATATTTTGAACTCAAATAATAAAACAAAAGGAATGTGAAATATAGTAAAAAATTCGACCAAATCAACTAGAAAACTTGTAGAAAATGTTGTTTTAAAAGATAACGCTAGAAATGTGAACGATCCAGCAACAGTGGCTAGTCTCTCTAACCAATACATTTCGAGAATTGCTGCCGATCTCAGTAAGGGTCTTCAGCCATAAAATGCAGCATAAGACGTTTCCCCCAAAATTTTGGGCATTATGTTTGTTCCGGAAACTTCTTTCTATGAAATTCTCAAAATAATCGGTAGATTAAAAAATAAATATTTGGCCGGTTTAGTTGAATTTACGGAATGTTTGTTGAAGGTTTGCGGACCCGTCTAATGGCGGGTCATGAAGTGGCAGTTAAATGAAAAGAAGGTCGCTGTCGAAAACCGGTAGTCAGCTCTGATCCACAAATGCTACTTTTGAATTTTGCAACACACAACAGACGCTCATGGACACAAGATTAAATTGGGTCAGTCACATCTCGTCCGAAATAAATTAAGCCAAAAGTCTGTTTGCTATTTTACGCTTGATTCTTAACCGCAACTCTTCTTTAAAAATTAATTCGTCTTTAACCATTTACAAATCTATTCTTCCGATATTAACTTACGCATCCCTTTTATGTATTTTAGCTGCCCCAACCACATTAAATAAGATACAAATCATTCAAAACAAAATATTAAGAATAACAGTAAATACCTCTGGTTTGTCAGCAATAAGACTCTTCACAACGATCATGCAAGCGATTACTTCATTTATTACACAACTGGCACATATTTTTTTCAATAATTTAAATCGTGTACAAAGGGCAGTCACTTACGAAATAGGAAGTGATCAATCCCCACTCTTCCGCCTAAGAAACAGACTCACATTTCACATTTTCCTTCAGTACCTCTCCGACATTAGATAAAGGAAGAACAATTCTTGCATTCACCAGTCTGTCCTATTGAATTATTTTCTTAACCCTGCCATCGCTGCCTTTCAAATTTTCCTCTCAATAACCTTGGTTGAAGGTATAACCTAAGAAAATCACTGTCAGGGAAGTAACAAGAAATTACCCCCTTCACACTTCACTGACACGAAGTTGCTCGGTCAATCAACTGAAGAGTCTCACGGCTGAACGTTTTACTGTCTGTCAATATAAAATAAATGTTAATGAAAACAACATCAACAAAAACAAATAACTGGTCGTATTTCTTCACTATGAATGACGAAATGTAGAAGCTTTGTTCTGTTGATATGATGTGTGATACATATTTTGAGCATATTTTTATTTGGCTGGCTTATTTATTCGGCGGATAAAAGCTATTACAAATGCAGTTTGTATAAACAAGATGATTCTATCGCTCTAAAGGCAATATTTTTAATGCTTTTAAGTTAATTACTTAACTTTATCCATCAGGCTTTGCTGCTGCCCTTTTCGTCAACGTCAGTATAATAAAAAGAGTATTCGAATCACTAACACGCTGTCATCAGCACCTTTTTCACAGAGATGACCATTTTACTTATTTTATCAGCACATGCTGGTTAATACTCCGTAATTATTACTACTCCGTAACGCGAAACAAACGTTAAAAGTCATGTCAATTTAATCATGGATATTAGCTCCTTAATATCTTCCATCACAATTCGTAGCCTTATCATTTTAATGCTGTTTTTGTTTTCAGTACAAGAAATGTTTAAAATGTGCGCATTAACAGAAATTAAGCCAGAAAGTATGCACTGAGATAAGTTTCAGTAACGAGTAAATACATTTCTACTGCTCATGAAATGCCTGGTCATGAGCCGTTCTCT